TGGATACTGGGTTCAGTGAGTCCTAAGTCACCACTACCCCACAGAGGCCCTATCCTGAAACAAGGGCCTAATCCAAGCTTCTTCCATCACCCCCCTCCCTTCTCCACCTGGCACAGTCTTCTAGCTGGAAGACAAGGTCCCTGCCTTGGGGTCTAATTTCTGTTTCACTAACCTCTTTAAGCAAAGACTGTCCCTGTGTGGAGCCAGCTGCCCTGATGTTACCTCTGAAAAAGATCTACACAACACTAGGGACATTTTTGGCTTCTGAGCTATTTCTCCGGCACAGATAGTAATGCCTCTGTTCATGGTCCATGATAATCAGCAAGCCTGATGCAGGTCCCATCCCCTATCCCACGTGCTGTCCTATTGCTGAGACAACCTGACTGTGACACAGGCTTTGTCCCAATAGATCATCAGTTCCAGCTAGCAAATGGGAACAGGAAGCTAAAACCTCAAATATTTCGAATGACCTACTCAAATGCCATTTCTTTTCTTTTTTTTTTTAAATAATAATAATACCACTTCTATGAAGTCCATAGAGTGGTCAAATTCATAGAAACAGAAAGTAAAATGGTTTCCAGGGAGTGGGGGTGGAGAAATGGGGACTTAATGTTTGATGAACACCGTCTCAGTTTGGGAAGATGAAAAAGTTCTGGAAATGGACGGTGGTGATGGTTGCACAATAATGTGAATGGGCTTCATGCCACTGAACTGTACACTGAAAAATGGCTTAAAATGGTCAATTTTGTGTTATGTATATTTTACCATGATAAAAATAATAGCTTGTAAGAAAGAAGATATTTCAGAAAATAATCATGGTTTAGGGATTTTAGCTTGTTTTCATGGATGAAATCAAGAATCAAACTACAATGTAAGAATCAAGCTACAGAATAAAAGTTCAGACACAGAAAGTGAAGATTAACATTTGCTCTAGAGAATCTGAGCCCATCTTTAAACCTTTCTGGGCCTCTCGGCCTTACCATACCTAAAGTGAAGCTGTCTCAGTTCTGGTGCTCTGAACTTGGACTGAGCAGTGGCTGCACTTCCAGTGTATTAGTCCGTTTCTGTTGTTTATAACAGAATACATGGAACTGAGTAATTTAGAAAGAAAACAAAATTTATTGCTTACAGTTTCAGAGGCTAGGAAGTGCAAAGTACAGGAAACCCATCTGGTGAGAGCTTCTTTGGTGGTGAGTTCAGTGACTGCAGAGCAGCGAGAGACAGACTCTTCATGCTCCTCTTTAAACGTCCTCCAAACCACGCCCATGACCACCATTATTAATCCATTCACAATGGCATGGTCCAATAATCTAATCACCTCTTCAAGGCTCCACCTTTCAATTACCATAATAGGATTTCCCACCCTCTTAACAGTCACAGTGGGGGCCAAGTTTCTAATACACAAAACTTGGGGGACACAATTCAAGCTTCAGTGAGTTTTGGGGGTACTTAATCCAATTTACTACATCCAGTATCTGTGGATTCCTGAGTGTGAACTCAGGTGCATTTCCCTGTGCAGGGGCCATGACCTTCCTCAGATTCCCAATGGGAAACTCACTTCCCAACAACTGTGAAGACCCACTGACTGGAATGGCTCATTTCTTAGGGGCCCTTTCAACTCATAACATCTTAAAGGCAGACGCCCCAACAGCCAGTTCCCCTGAGCACACTCAGATGTTGGAATGCCCATCTTAAAACGGCTACCCTGAGAACACAGCCCTTGGGCTTCCTCCAAGAGAGCTGCAAAGAATAGGAAGTACTGTGCTAGCTCCATATCCCAGGGGTTTTGCTCAAATGGAGGCTTTTTCCCTATTGAAATAGAAAATCCATGAAGAAGGGGCACAGTCCTAACCAGGTTTTGATTCTGATATTTGGTTATGGAGTAGCCATGGGGCTGGGGCTGCTGATGGAAAGGGCAAGAGAAGGAGAGAGGGATTTTTGCTAAATATCTAGAGAATACCTAGAAGCCCCCATATTTCCTGGGCCCTAGAAACTATTGGAGCCAAATGGGCTTGTGAAGAATCACTATGTTTTGAATTAAATCTGAAGTTTGGATGTGATTTTTCTCCATCCTGTGCATATAACTGGGAGAGGCTCTTTTCATGAAGATTTTGTGAATCCAGTCTTTACCTCATCACCCAGAGAAGCTCACTTTACTGACTTCAGAAAAAGAAATCAACAGCCTGGCCTGGGAATAACACATGGGAAATTGAAGACAGTACTATAATTAAGTTCACGAAAGGCCGATTCTTATGGCCATATTTCAAATGCTCATAACGCTTTCTCATCCATTCTACCAAATGACTTTACTTTGTAATATATTCAGAGTGAAAAAATATAATGGATTCTTCTGAGATATTCAATTAGCTCAATAAAAAGAGAAAAATAATTTTTCAATGAAGAAATTTAACCAAATGACTAAAGCTGACAGTGAAAAACCAACTTCAAAGTAATTAAGCATTTTTTTAGTTCTTGCTCTAACAGAAGTTGATGATATGCTGCTATTAGAAATAGCCTCCTTCTGATGAGTAATTGCATTCGTGTTTCTATTTTAGAGCATATTTATTTGAATGTTTACTCTGAAACTGTCTTGGGGTTTTGATATATTTAAATCTGCACCAGCCCCTCTAAGGAGGATCTGCTCTCACTGTTTCATGACTCACTGCTCAGCTTCCTTCAAGCTGGTTTCCTCCCCATTAATGGAAACCTCTCTCACAAAAGTCACCGGTAATATTCCCCTTGCAAAATCTCATTAAATCTTCTATTTACTCCTTATCCTGTTGGGTGTCATAATATTTAATTGCTGATCATTGCTTGCTCTTCCAATTCATCTCCCCCATGTCTTCTGCAAAACTAGCACCTGCTCTTTAAACTTTGGAGTTTTCTAGGACGCCCTGCCTCTGGCATCTTGCGCATTCCCTTTGGGTAATCTCATTTGCAAGAAAGGTTTCAAAAGCATCGATGTGCTGAGGGCTTCTCAGCCTGTAACTCAACCCTGGCATTGCTCCCAAGCAACTCACTTCTGCACAGGTGCATTGAACTTGAGGGACTGACCATTGGCACAATCAAAGTGGAACTCACTGTCTCTCCACCCCCACTCCCCTTCTGCTGTTCTTCTGGCAGCCTCGTCTGGGTACCTCATCACCCACATAAGACATTTCTCTCCTGTTCAAGCTGCCCACATCGTGACTCGCTTCATCTCTCACTGGTCTCCCTGCCTACAATGTCTAACATCTTCTATCGATACAAGTGTGTTTTTCTGATCAGATCAGACTGTTCCACCACCTTCCTGAAAAACCTCTGTTGGCTTTGTACAGTCTGCAGAATCAGTGGAGCCTCCTCATCATGACAGCCAGGCCCCCCATGCCCACCAAGCCTCCAGCCTCGCCCTTTACCATCCTTCAATATACCCTGCTGTCGAGGAACAGCTCTGTGCCCTGGTGACTCTGCATGTAGTGCCATGTAGGAAGGGCTGGACCCACAGCTGATCTGAGTATTGGCAGAATGCCTGTGGTCCTCCCAGACAATTTCTTGTCACCTTCCGGGTTCTGTGACATATGGGGGTTCTACCCACCCCTCTTCGGGCACAGCTGCAGGTGATAAAACTGCTGAGAAGTGGCATGAAATTAGCTCCTCAGCAACATCCCCTCATTCATGTGGCAGTTGTCCAACCTCTTTTGCTTTGGTGTCACCTGCATAAAGGCCTCCATAGCCCACTCTTCCTTTTACTGTCTTGTAAGTAACAAACTGAATCTTAAAAGGACTTATTGTTTCATGGCTAGGATTCACCCTGCCTGTGCTTGACTCCTGCACTCTAACTTCAGATACTCACCACCCTCTAAGCCCCATGGGATCAGGTAATTTAACTTCAAACTTGATGTGCATTTTAAAAAATAAATATAGTACAGAGATCAAATAAAATCAAACTTGGAAATCTGGTTAAGTGCAAGTAAGGATAAGAAAAATAAAATGGAGCCATCCATTAGGTTAGTACTATAGAGTACTACTGTATACAGCACTATTGCATGAAATTATAGTGCTGTAATCTTAGAGGTGCATCAAGTCCTTTGTGGAATAAGGAAAATCCATACACTTACAATTTGTGACTTACAAATTTGGTTCTAACTCTTATCACAGAAAATTAGAAACTACTAATGAATGGTTTGTCCCAAGAGCAAACCTCTAATGCACAGATGATTAAAAATGAATTTAGAGAAAACTTAAATAAAGTCAAGCTGAACCTTGTTAACATTAAACACCCTTTCTTTAAGTAAAAGACATTATTAGATTATTATAAATCCTCCTTAAAATAACATTGTCTAAAATGAAAAACATTTCAGGAAGTAATTGAAATATTGAAAGAAAAAAAAAAAACAAAGATTATATTAGGATTGCTTCTCCTGCCCCAGTAGTTTCATTTCTCATACCTAACCCACCTTTCTAAATCTGTTCTGTTCCTTGGGGTCAGCCATACCAGCCCCCCAGCAGGCACCATTAGCCATCTGAGTCCCTTTTTCACTCCCACAAGAAAATCCCCCAGATTAGATCTTTTGCTCTTTAGTCAACTACCTGTACCTAAGGTAGAGTTACACCAAATAAACAATGGTCTTCTCTGATGGAATCTGCGTCCTCCCTATACCACCAACGTAAGTGAATACCTGGCTATTTAGATAAAAGGTTTAATTTGATAAGCAAGGAAAAGTCTGTATTTGTTATCTCCATTCTTTGAGTGACTTTCCATATGTCAGTATGACTTTTGTGTCCGAAGCTTGGCATTCTAAAGGTAATATATTATGCCTCAATCAAAAGTCTTATTTATGATAAAAGGCTTTGTAAACCACTAAACTTTATACAAAAAGTGTAATCTGTTATTGTTAGGCCTGTTTGCAACTGTTAATAATAATAAATGCAAAACGTACTAAGTATATCTTGCAAAAAGCGTAGGTAAATTACTCCCGCGTTATGCTAGTTGCATACTAACGTCCTCCCTTTTCCCATAGGCAACCCTCCTGCGACTGGCACTGGAACTTTGCTGATAACTCTGGAAGACGTGAACGACAATGCTCCCTTCATTTACCCCACAGTAGCTAAAGTCTGTGACGATGCCAAAAACCTCAGTGTAGTCATTTTGGGAGCGACAGATAAGGATCTTCACCCGAATACAGATCCTTTCAAATTTGAAATCCATAAACAAACTGTTCCTGATAAAGTTTGGAAGATCTCCAAGATCAACAGTAAGTCTGGTTAAAACATTCTACCTTATTCTTCCAGCTTTGAATTTAGTTTCTCTTTCTCAAAATGCTCTTCCTCTCCTACTCTCTCGTGTAAAACAGTCTATTTTAACTTAACATCTGCATTACCTACACTGACTGTTCTCCCACCAGCAGACAAATATAATCTGTAGAAATATTGAATATCAGTTTCTTATAAATGCAAACATAAGGGTTTTCTCTTTTGCTTCTTCTACACCCAATGTTGTACACACTATACTGTCCGCTCAGTACTGTGTACTCTATCCTGTAACCCCAACAGGGGTCTCTGCTTCTCCCCATACACCTCTTGGTTTAGCCATCTCTTCTGTCTCAGAGACAGAAAAATGTATTTACATCATTGTCCACCAGCACTTTAGAGAAGCTTTTCCATGGTATCTGTCCGCTCAGTACTGTGTACTCTATCCTGTAACCCCAACAGGGGTCTCTGCTTCTCCCCACACACCTCTTGGTTCAGCCATCTCTTCTGTCTCAGAGACAGAAAAATGTATTTACATCATTGTCCACCAGCACTTTAGAGAAGCTTTTCCATGGTATGCCTGTCTTTACAAAAGACTAAAGAAGAGAGAAGCACTGGTATAATAATCTTTACAGGGTCTTCAGCCTCTAAACTTCTATTTTATTATGCAGAGCTCCTCAAACTTGACTTAGACTTTATGATGATCTTGGCTTTTTTTCCAAATTCTGGGCTTTTATCCTTGACTTTGGTATCTTCTTCTGTGTGTCCTCTCTCTCACTTCTGAAACTCGCTAGCCTTGTCTCTTTCTACCAGTCTTTCGACACGGGCAGGTGGAATTCAAAACTCGACCCAACATTTATCATCGGCCTGATGAAGACTGAAACACCAGTGTATTGAATTAAGACACGTCCTTATATTCACAGTGCCTCACCCACTTTTCTTCCCACATGTGAACTAACTACTAAGTTCACCTCATATTCCAGTTCTATTTTATTATGCAGAGCTCCTCAAACTTGACTTAGACTTTATGATGATCTTGGCTTTTCTTCCAAATCCTGGGCTTTTATCCTTGACTTTGGTATCTTCTTCTGTGTGTCCTCTCTCTCACTTCTGAAACTCGCTAGCCTTGTCTCTTTCTACCAGTCTTTCCACACGGGCAGGTGGAATTCAAAACTCGACCCAACATTTATCATCGGCCTGATGAAGACTGAAACACCAGTGTATTGAATTAAGACATGTCCTTATATTCACAGTGCCTCACCCACTTTTCTTCCCACATGCGAGCTAACTACTAAGTTCACCTCATATTCCAATAAAGCCAGAAATAAATAAATAAGAACTCACACATTAGACATATGCTCAGTAATGAACTTGTCCTGCTATTGACTTTGTCAAGGTTCCCACTGCTTACATCAGTGGTAGAATTTTTGAGGGGGGCAGGAAATTACCCATTTCATTAACTTTTGAAAATGTATTATACAATTGTGCATAAAATTTTCTATTAAAAATCTCATATCTATTGTGATAGCCCAATCTCATATCTTATTTTATTAGTGCCTTTCTCTCGTTATTGATTCTACTTGCCTGTTTGTCAATTTTATTGCTTTTTAAAGAATGAATTCTGTTACACTGATTATTTTTAATTAAAACAGCCCTTCTCTTGTCTGAGGGGTTAGTGTTTTATTTGCTGGTGTTTATGGCTGTAGCTGATTTGAATAATCATCACCAGTTCTTTCCAACTGGAACTTTCTCATTCGAGAGTTTCTCCTCTACTTGAGGGAGATCGATCAGGAAAATGTTCCCGGAGTTGATCTGCTGGTTCCCTGGGGTGATTATCACATCGGTCGTTTCTGCTGCTGCTACCTCGTGGTAGTGATAATACTTCATCTATGTCTGTTAACCTGTCATTGCACTCTTGTTTTCCCTCATGATTCTATTCAGTAGATAAATGTCTTCTAAACTCTTTGTTGCTCCAATTTTTTTTCTGAATTCTTAGCACTGTTTATGCCCAAAAAGGGGCAGTTGGGGAAAAAAATCCCTAATCCTAGAGTGACTGAAAAGAGAAGAGCCCAAGGCTAAAGAACAGGCTTGGTAGAGTGGCCATGCTGGGTGCTATATCCAGTGGCCTGCATAATGACAGATATTCCCACCAAACATGGGATTAGGCAAGGAGAGAGGAAGCTTACAGATCCAGTCTCCATGTTGTGGATTTTCCACCCAAACCTACAGCTATGAGCTGAGGATTGATAAAGCATAAACTATAGAATCCATCTCCATGGTAACACATAAGGTTCCTGCCCACATTTAGAGCAGGAGGATTTTTACTTTGGCTCTCTAGATGATGAATGCAATCTTTGTCGAGATGGCTTTATAGATATAATAAATTCGTGGGGAGGAGTTCTTGGTACTCAATCATTTTCACAAAAGTGGATCCCCTTGAAATTGATTATAATAGCGCTGAACCATAGAACTCTGCAGTGATGGAAATGTTCTATCTCTGCACTGTCCAGTACAGGAGCCACCAGCTACGGAGTGCTTACTATGTGGCTACTGCCACCGAAGAACTGAATTTGTATTTTTACTTGATGTTAGTGAAATTAAATGTAAACCTTCCCGTGATTATAAATTAAAATGCAATGTCTACTTTGTGTAATTTTACTTGCCAAAACCTCACTCTTTTATTGGGAAAAGTCTAATCCTCTCTCACAAAGGCTCTCCTTGTCCTCACAGATACACACGCCCTGGTAAGCCTTCTTCAAAATCTGAACAAAGCAAACTACAACCTGCCCATCGTGGTGACAGATTCAGGGAAACCACCCATGACGAACGTCACAGATCTCAGGGTACAAGTGTGCTCCTGCAAGAATTTCAAAGTGGACTGCAATGCCGCAGGGGCCCTGCACGCCAGTCTGGCCTCCCTCTTGCTCATGTCTGTCTTCAGTTTAGCTGGTATGTCAGCATTGCTCCAATGTGTGCACGTATAGGAAAATGTAACTTCACTGAGTTCCCGAAGCCATTGCTTTCCATTTATCTTTCCAGAAAAATTTATCACAGAGGAAACACTCAACTTTAGTTTATGTCTGTATGATAGAAAATGTTACATGTAAAAGTATTCCAATAAATGTTCAAAGGCATCTTATCAATCTCCTGCCAGCCAGTCCAAGGAATTGTGCAAAGACCTTCATCGCTACCCTATAAACCAGGTGATAAGCAAAATTTCTTACAGATTCCATTCAAGTTGAGCTAACAGAAATGCACCCCGTTAGTTAACTGGTCTACCAGGGGCCTATTTCTCTCTCCGTTGTGCAGAATAATCTTTTGCAAGGTTAAAAGTAGGCACTATGCATTTCTAAGAATAGTCATGAGAATTTGTCGATGGAGGTCAGGCCACAAGAAAAAAGATAAATTCATAATTCACACTTTTTTTCTCACTCACTGATAGCAAAGACTGTAATATAGTGAAACTTTCTTTTTTTTTTTTTTTTTCCCGACAGCTGGCCAGTACAGGGAACTGAACCCTTGGCCTCAGTGTTGAAACATTATTTTAAACAAATGAATTATTATGCTGAGTAATAGAGATGTGAGCACAGAATGAATAAATATGTGTCAGATATTTCTTATTGATGGAATGAGTCCAAATTTAACCTTAGCAATTATTCTCATATAACTATTGCCATCCAAAAGCCTTTTGGGTCTTGTCATTTACGTTTTGAGAAAGAATCGGTGTAATTGTGAATTAGGAAGTTGGGAAATTGACAGGTAGAAAAAGAGACCTGGTGACAGTGGTAAGTGGGTCAACAGGCTCAACAGGAAGTGACACATTGCAATCATTCAGTGTGTATAAAGCTCTGTGTGGGACTGAAGTTCTGTGGGTAGAGCTGAGAAGGAGAAAGACTTACAGTGTCCCACTGGCCCTTCAAACTGTACATTTCCTAAACAGAACATATCATCTCCCCCCACAACCTGCCCCTGATGACTGTATCATCCCTATCATCATCATTATCATCCCCATGGTACCTTCTTTTTTTTTTTTCTTTTTCCTTTTTGTCTTTTTTACTGACCGGTAACGGGATCGCAACCCTCGGTGTTGCGCCCGCACCGCGCTCAGCCAGTGAGCGGGAACCGGTCTCCACATGGGATCCGAACCCCCGCACTCCCAAGTGGCGCACTCTCCAGTGCGCCCCCAGGCCGGCCCCCCATGGAACCTTCTAAATCCTCCAGTTACAAAGCCCAACAGATTATAACACCTTACACCTTCCAGCATCCCTGCCTCCACCCTCCCATATTGGAGCCTTATTTTCACTTACCTTAATTATCTCTCTGGTTTCCTAACTCCATCTCTGCATGAGAACTTCAGGGAGAGACCATGGAAATTGATGGGCCTCCCTTTAGTCTTCTCTGTAAAATAGGAGATGATTTCATCGGCAGAGGACAAAGGGATGGAGGTAGGGCTGGGGACTGAGAAGAAATTAGGAAAGATTGCGAAAAAGCAAATAATCAGGCCTTACAAAAGATAGGTATAAGAATTTCCAAACAGCTGTAATGGTCCAGAGGAGATTAGATGTCATGAATTTATAGCAACACATACACTTGATAGTCCCTTGCTTTGCTGACCTATCCTAGACCAAGATTGCTAAAGTCTAGACAAATATCCTTCACGGACATGTACCCCCTGGGGCCCGGGGCCTTGGGCCTGGCAGGCTGGTTTGCTAAGTCATCACGTTAACCTACAGGAGCTCATCTGCAGGTCACAGTATGAACTGTGGAGATGGTAGTGAATTTCAACCCTGGATGCACAGTAGAATCACCTAAAGAACGTTTAAACATGTATCTACCTAAACCTGGTCCTACCCTATCCCTGAAGGTGTGGCTCAAATGTTTGTCCATTTTAAAGGCCCACCAGGCACTGGGACCATCCAGACCATCATGGTGACTGAGTCTATCCCATAGGTAGAGGCTCCTGACATTCTAACAGCATCTTCTGCTCAAGTCCACATCCTGAATATGTGTTGGTTCCCTCAGTTTACTCTTCAATAGAAAAAAAAAAGGAGGAAGGTAAATTGAAGAATATAATGTAAAGATATTTAATTCTGATGATGCTAGAAAACCTGAAATCCAAATAGAGGATGCAGCAAGATGACATAACACATCCAATATGAAGATTTCTATAGCACCAACCTTCCAAAAGGTATTTAAGAAGCATACAGAATTAAAACATGTATGGCAGGAAGCTAAACTTCACAAAGAAGGGAAACCAACTGGAAAGAATTGGAGACAGAGATAACCGACACTAAATTTGGCAAGGGTTGGGGGTAAAGGGTGTTTTCTAAAAGCACTGAAACTTTAAAGTGCAGAGGTGGGATAACATCCCATCTTAGCCACGGTCCTTGAAAGATTTTTGGGAGTGGGGAATTAAGCTGGTAGAATCTGCTTGATGTTTCTTTACAGTAGGGTCAGCAAACAGGTCAAATCTGGTCCATGGCCCATTTTTGTAATAAAGTTTTATTGGAACCCAGCCATGCCCATTAATTTACATATTGTCTGTGGTTGCTTTCTGCTACGATGACGGAGGTAAGTAGTTGAGACAGAGACTGTATGGCCTGAAAAGCCAAAAATATTTACTATCTGGCCCTTTACAAAAAAAGTTTACTAGCACCTGCTTTAAAGCATCGTTCACAAAACTTCAGTGGTTGTAGGAGCAGAAGATCACATCATACCACATGGGAATAAAAAGTAGGTTGTTCTCTTCCCCTCAAATAAAATTCAGATCCAAGTAGACTAGCATTAACCAAACACCCTGATGTTCCATGGATTTCTTTTACATTTTCTTCATTAGTCTGGTAATTTTATCCCACTTTCTAGATGAAAATACTGATGCTCAGAAAGGTCTCCAGATGAGTATTTGCATTAGACTGCCTCCTTTATGAAAAAACAATAAAAAACATTTCAGGCTGGCTGGTTAGCTCAGTTGGTTAGAGCATGGTGTTGATAATGCCAAGATCCAGGATTCGATCCCTGTACTGGCCAGCCACCAAAAAAAAAAATCCAACTTATTATGATGTTATAGATGGCTTTATTGCAACTGAGAATTGAACTGAAGGATCTGCAATTCCTTCTTTGACATCTAAAAATAAACAAAACTGACATTGAGAGTAAAAAAATGTAAATGAAATTATCGTTACTGTCCATTTTGTTGTTTAAATTACATGTTGACAACATTGAAGGGATGCATAATTCCTCCCTCAGCACCTTGCAGTGAAGCAAACGGTGCTGTCATTAGGCTGCACCTGCTGTTTTTCTATCACAGCTCTGCGTGGTATGGCCATGTCTCCAGGAAGAGACTTGTCCAGAAGCCCATTGTGACCATTGTTTTAGGCCTAATTAATCAGCAAGAGCAAGAACAGAAAAAGACAGATCAGGTGAACCATTTTAACAAGTACCAAAATTAAATGTCTCTTTACTGGGGGGGGCGGGGGGGGGTGATGCCGAAGAACAATCTCAATCACAATAAAGAAGCTTAAAGAGATGAGCACAGTGAGCAAAAGACTAGCTACTAAACATTTTCTTAATTTTAGGATTTTTTGTTAAGTGATTATTTGCATATAATAAAATTCACTCGTTTTAAGTGTACAATTTGAGGAATTTTGGTAACTGTACACAGTTGTGTAGCTGCACCACAATCAAGACACAGTTTCCTTTGCTATCGATCCCTTTCCCCCCACCCGGGCCCTCATTGATCTGCTTCCTCTAATAATTGTTTTGCCTTTTCTAGAATTCCCTAGAGTATATTGATATTTTGCTCCTTTCTATTGCAAAATGTATTATGGGCAAAGACAGAGCCTGCTGGGGCAGAGCTGGCTGTCCTCTGCCACAGATGGCCCTGAATCATGCTTTGCAGAGGAGCTGTGGTCAACTTCATGGACAATAATAGTTGACCTTTGAGAGCTTTCTGTGTGCCATGCACAGGCAAGCTAAGAGCTTTACATAAATATATAGATTACCTCCTGTAATCATCTCAATAGCCCTGGGAGGTGGTATAATTTATGTTATTGTCTAAATTGGCTTAAAATAGGGATTGGAGACCCTAATTTGAAAGCAAGGGACTGGAGACTAACTTAGTGGATTTTATTCAGCCAAATCTTTTTTTTTCCTTCCTGTTTTTAACTGATTTTCCCCACAGGGGATGGTTGGAAATGTCTAGAGAAATTTTGATAATCATAGCTGGGAGGAAGCTACTAGTGACATCTAGTGGGTTGAGGTCAGGGATGCTGCTAAACACCCTCCAGTGCCCAGGACAGTCTCCCCACAAACAGTGATCCAGCCCCAAATGTCAATAGTGCTGAGGGTGAAAAACCCCACTCTGCTCTCTAACCAAAATTGGACACAGAAAGTGGAGACCTTGCACCACCCTGACAATACAAATGGCTTTTAACCACTTAAAAAACAAAAAGGAATATTTATTCAACCTAAAAAAAAAAAAAATCTTAGAAAAACGTTCTTCCTAATAGGCTTCTTCAAAAATAGTTCATATTTTACAACTGTCTTGCAACTTGGCCACAGATGAGACCCAATCATTGTAAAAATGAAGGCACAGCTTCAAAATGTCTGAAGTTCTGAGCAGAAGGTGGCCTGTCTTCAATAGGCACCTTCAGATGGAGGCAGGACTGGCGTGTCCGTGGGCTGGTGACAAAGGTCGGGTGAAAAGCACACAGCACTTGTAGACTGCTGAATTCCCTCCTTCTCTTCCCTCCTCTTGATGGAGCTAGACTCTCTGTAACAGAAGCCTTAGAGCGAACAAGGGCTCTGGCACCTGTAACTGTGGACACGACAGCTTACTCAGTGTAATGAAATCTCAACCCTAGGCTGGAATGACATGGACGAGAAAGTGCTTATAAGGCGTAAAGTAGCAAAAAAAAGGCAAAAACATGCTTCATTTTGAAAGTGGATCTGGGCATCCTAGAAACAGAACTTCTCCTCTGATAGTGTTGAGTGACAGGTTCTATCCCCGGGCTAGTCCACATAGGTGGCCTGAAAGGAGCCGTGAGGAGTAACTGGGGTAATGGGCTCCCAAAGGCACCTGTGCTGACCTCACTTGCTGTGAACTTTTCCACTTGAGTGACCTGTCTCGTAGTCCACAACCCCACCACATGATGCCTCATTTCCTCTGGGAACATAGTGCTCCCCACATGGTTGGCCAAGTAATGGGCCCCAAAGATGTTCTCATCCTAGTCCCTGGAACCTGTGAACATGTTACCTTATATCATATATGAGAATTGCCAGTGTGATTAAGTTAAGCATCTCGAGATGGGGAGGAGAGCCTGAATTAGCCAGGTGAGCCGTATATAATCACAAAGTCCTTATGAGAGATGAAGGAGGAGCCAGTTAGAAGAAGACCATGTGATGACAAAAACAGAAGGAAGCAGAGGTGCTGGGTCTGAAGGTGAGGCGGGGGCCACGAGCCAGGAATGCAGGTGGCCCCTAGAAGCTGGAAAGGGCAAGAAAAAGATTTTCCCCTATAGCCTCCAAAAAGAACACAGCCCAGCTCATGCTTTGATTTTAGCCCCAGAAGACTAATTTCAGACTTCTGACACCCAGAACCATAAGAGAATATATTTGTGTTGTTTTAAGCCACTTTTTGGCCATTTGTTATAGCAGCCATAAGAAACAAATACTCCATGTTTCAGGAACCACCAAGAAGTATCTTGTTCTTTGACAAAACTAATATGTGAGACAATCATCAATCTGTAAGCCACAAAGTCAGCTTGTTCCTAAAATAGCCAAGCTCTGTGCTAAGGTGCAAGCCATAAGGCTCACTGGTAGCAGCAGTAACAGCTGCTGTTGGTCTGAGATGTTTGGCATCTGAAGTCATCATTAGCATTTTCAGAGAAGTCCAGCTTTTGAAGACATAAACCAAGAGAACTATTCATTCTGTCTTCAAATGTCATGCTTAAGAAAAAAAATTTCCCAAGATAGTGCATTTTTGTAACTGTGTTTATGAAGGCTTGTCAGTCATTTATCCAACGTTTAGCTAAAATGTTTTGAATCATGTTGTAATATTCCCGACTTAACTCTGCACCTTCTCTTTTCAGGTCTGTGAGAAGTCCTGACATCTGAAGCTTGACTCCCAAGTTTCCATAGCAACAGGAAAAAGAAAAAAAAATCTATTCCAAATCTGAAGATTGCAGTTTACAGATCTTGAACTTCACAACTAGGCCTCAATTGTTCCAGAGTTTCATTTTCTTTGCAATTTCACTTAGTCTGTACTTCATTTTGACAGCATCTTCCTTCCTCCTTTAATTAAGGGAATCCTCTGAATTTCCCCTGAATGTTTAAAGATCATGACATAACTTGACCTTCTGGGAGTAGGAACAGTGACTACTCTTTCTGATGTGTTGACATGTTGCTAGCCAGTGTTCCACACATCCAGCTTTGTCTGTGGGTTGGTATTTGTATATGTATGAGTATCTGTATGTGTATATACACGGTATTTGTATAGAGAGACGATACAGGAGAAGCCTAGTTTTGATATATCATTCTTCCTCAAAAGCCGAAGCAAAGAGTAGGTAGAAGCTAAGAAGGCTGAACCCTCCAGAGCCGCAGCACCAAGCTAAGAACGAGTACAGCCCACAGAGCTGACTCCTGCTCTGGAGTCTCTTGCCCACCACCCCATTCAGTCTGAACGCTGCCACAACCAGCCAGGCAGGTCCAGAGAGGGAGAGCAGAGAAAGAAGACCTTTCTCTTTAGTTAGAGGACTACAACCAATTTCCACTACCATCATATGCCGTGATTCCGAGCCAAGGTGGTGAGGAGCAGAGCAGAAAATTTACCATCAAATGCCGAGAAAAGGGCTGAAATATTCCTTCCTGGGCATCTACCTGCATTTGTGTGTGTCCTGAATCCACACTGGTTTCTCTGGGGACATGGATCACGGTAGAGAGTCTCTTCCTCCTCGGCACATGTACAAATGCAAATGTCATCACGGAGGTCATACATGTATATGAAGAGGTCGGCAGGTACCATCTTGTATACACATATATACCCACATGTATAGACATACATTTATGCACATACACACCGTTTGTTTCATATATACATGCATAGAGTAAATACAGGTAGTTTTAAAAGTACCCTTTTGTGTGAATTGACTACCGTTGTTTGCAAACCTGAAAATAAAAGATGTTCATTATGTATGAAAAGTAATTGATTTTTATTCTGTGAGCATGTAAAAGTAAGAGGAAAGTTAGTGCTTGTACTACGATTATCTTCTGTCGATAAGCTGTAAATGAACCATCAAAGCTCACACCAAATTTTTCTATCAGATAAAACTAGTGACAGCCTGTGGCTTTATATTAGAGCTCGCCACGATCTAGGGTAAGGTAAGTGTCTTAGCATATTTTAATGCAGTTGCTTACTAAAGATTTTAACCACACACACACATGCACACACACGCATACATGCACACACATGCTTTCTTATGCAATCTATGTTTGCACCTGTGCTTTTCAGTTAGCCTTCTGTAGGAAATAGAAGTCATATGTTGTCTTTGTTGTAGTGAAATTATGCAAATAGAGTTCCATATATTGTATTTGTTTCAATAGCAAATCTTTTTGGAGTATATAGAATGCAGAGGTTTTTTTTCATTAAAATAAATGGGTATTGGTGATTAAAACTGCTGGACAGTAGCTTTTCTCTGGTTTGTATATTGTGTCCAATGTCGCCAGTGCCGGGTCTTGTCTTAGTGCAAGTTCACTCTTTGACTGACTATTTGGGGTCCCTTGTACATCTCCATTAGATAAGTGAATCTATAAAGCCGGAAGCACCTGCTCACAGCACGGGCTTGTCTTGGTCACCATATGATATGATTTGAGCAGGTTGCAATCGGCTGTGAAGATGATTGCAGACTCAGATGAGAGGGACCACCCTCAGCTTGATGACTGCATTCAGCATGGTCACAACCTTCTGTCTACAGTCCCAAGACATGGAGATTTTTCTCTTAAACAAGCTGTTGCTTAATGAGGAGATGCCACACCTTGAACATGACACAATCGTTCTCCACAACTGCATGCCCTGACTCAGGGTCAGGGGGATCTAAGCCTACCTATTCATACCTTACAAGATTTCCTCTTCTGGCTTTACAGGGCATAACCATGTGCCTCCCCAGTCCACCTTGCTCCCCTCTTCCTGCAAGGCAGGGAGAGAATGTTCATCCTTGAACAAACAAAAGAGCAGCCACAGATGGCCAGATGGTCAGCAGCCTGACCCATATGCTAGCTAACGACCCGAAAGCTTGCCTTCATCATGAACTTGAGCCCTCTCTAGGGAGAAACACAAATGCTGAGTAACCCATACACTGAAGGAAATGAGTGCAGGACTCCTCCTTTTCTCTCGAGCCCCTACGCTCTCCTGCACTCTGCAAATCAAATCCATAGCTTAGCTTAGAACACAGAAAAATAGGAGTGAAGTGCATTCTTCATTAACAAGTAGAATTTGCCTCAACTTTCTCTCATAAGTACCTTCTCTGTCCCCAGAGTTCTTATCAAGACAAAGATATCTCCATCATTCTGTTGTTTCTAATGCTTTCAAAAAAAGGAAAAATAGACTAATTCTTAGGAGCCAAAGTGGCAGCACGTTCTGACTCATGTTTTGTTAACTTATTAAAATACATTACATTATTTGCTGAAAGCCATAGTAGAATCAAAATGTTATTTCATTTTTATCTATGCATTTTATCTTAGTTCAAATTATTTTTAAAAAGTCACATAAGAATCAGAAATTGCTTTTCCCAATTAACTGAGCACAAGACTGAGGATTTTATTTCCATGAGCAAACAGTCACACCATCTTCTCTTCTTATTAATATGGGGGTACTTCTAAAAATTCGTGGAAAAATAGAATTAAAAGATAATCCTTAGCCACGCCCACCCATACACCCGCAGTCAGCCCAGCGATGACCACTGAGCCACTGCAAGAAGCACCCTAGGCTCTCCCAACCATGGCAGTGGGGGCCTCAGGCCTTGGCCAAGCCCCCCCGACATACACAGCCAGCCCGGCAATGACCACCAAGCTGCAGCAAGAAGGGCCCCAGGTTCCTGAGCTGGGATGGTGGAGGGCGAGGGCTTTTGCTACACCCACCTGACATCTGCACCCAGCCTGGCAATGACCAAGCCACCGGTGGAAGCCCCCTGGTCTCCTCTGTGAGAATGAGGGGGTGCCACAGGCCTCAATCCCACCCCTCTTCCTTCTTCCATCACATTTCCTTCCCCTTTCCCCTTTCCCCCTCCCTCCCAACTGCTCCACAACAACATCCCAGAATGCAAAAAAATAATATTAATAAAATTACATTAAAAAAATAAAAATTAAGTAAATAAATAAGATAATATGAATCTTCCCAAGAACTTTTGAAATGCCTTCATACATCAACCATTCTAGTTGATTAAAAATTACATTTTCTACCCATTTTACATATGATAAACTATTCTGAACAATTTTTTTTAACAAGAATATGAAAACATTTTCTAATTTTGATAAAAATTATGTTTAATACTGCCAGTTTTCTCCAAATGAGCATCACTTCACACAGATGTACCTTGCTATGCTTCTTGGCCAACACTGATAAATCTGAACATAACAAGATAAATCCAGCTAAATTTCATGGTAGGTATCAAATAAGACTTTGACTCCTAAAGGACACTGTTAGAAATCTTGATAACTCATCCCATATTTTCAAAATATCATTTCAAACAGTCTGATAAATGGAATAACCATCTACCACCAAATTCATGGAGTAGATCAGATTGCATTTTATTCAGAATAAATATGTTGGGTCTAGATCTTAAAATGTGACAACTAAAAAATCATTATCAAGTCTTTGTTTGCTGCTGGGTTTAGTACAACTGTACCCATGCACAAGCTTTCCAGATGATTCTGAGGAAAGGAGTCTACAATTCTCCTGGGGTGTGTGAACATGGTACTAATCATCATAACAACAATGGTTTATGTTTACTGATTGCTTATTAAGTGTCCACACTGTACAAAATCCTTTATACATATTAACTTATTGAATCCTTACAACAACCCTAGGAGGCAAGTATGACTTACAGATAAAGAAAGCTGAAGCTCAGAAAGATCAAATGGCTTGCCCAAGGTAAGTGGCCTCCAGAAGTGAAACTCAGGGCACTTGGCTCCAGGGCTCATGTTCTTCCTCCTACATCACAGTGCCACTCTCAACTCTGCAGCAAAACCAAACAGAATGCCCACAACAGACCAGAAAACCCCAGTCTGAAGTTCCAGTTAGCATGACTATCCATCTAAACCAACTAACAGTACTTTCTACCAGTAAGTACCTTTTACTAACAGCACCTGCTATCATTAAGTTCCTGCTATATCTCTTAATTCTGAGGGCTTTCTGTTAAGAACTGTTAACAGTATTCTAAATTAATATCGAAACCTTAGAAGTCTCCTCCCGCATGAGATATCATAATTTTCTTAAGTACCCCCCTTTCCTTCCATGGTTTGTTAGCTGGTACATGAGGGGCTTCTACCAGATTAATCTGATACCTCAGTTATCCAAAAGCAAATTCACGTCCTCCCAAGTACCCGCTCACTACCAAACCAAATGAGGGGAGAGAAAGCCAAGGGAGAAAGAGGTGTGGAATCTCTCAGATAAGAGCTTGTACTGTGCGTGCATGACAATAAACACAATTCAAATAGACAAGTTCTAAAGGATCTCCAAACAGTTTCTGATTTTGTAAATGTTGCCCGTTAATCTATCCACATGTGGTTGCCTTAATAATCAACAGGTAAATCACACCAACAAAAGGTGAGCCCTGAGAAAGAGCCAACTACCTTTTCTGTTTGACTAAAAAATAATAACAATAATAAAAATACATGATTTGGCTATGCCTTTCACAAAAGACAAAGCGCCCCCATTTTCTCTCCTTAACTGACTGTTGGGATTTGATACTTCTCATAATACAATGAGAAAATGCTTTCATAATTGTTCATCTAAAGCAACTAACAATTCTTTCACTAACAAATTTGTTACCCTTACTATATCTGCTATTGCTAATAGATTATCCCCCTACTAAAAAATTTCTACAGTCGTGACTGTTCATATAAAAGCATATACAAGATATGTATAGATGGGGAAATGGTCAGAATGAGGATTTCAGATAAGTTGAATTCTATAAATCAAGAATAAGTGTATATAAATAATTTAGATACTCATCAAATTAAGTAAGCAGTAAAGCCTCTTCCTATCTCTAATGCCATGTCACCATCGTCACATCTGTGGGTCGCTGAGTTTGATAAGCCTTTGAACCATTGTGTTCGACTGTGCAAGTGCTACCTGGTCAGTAGGGATGTGGTGAGACACAGAGGCGGATAAGACTAGGATGATTTTCACTCTGAAGCTACAAAGTCTTGGAGAAAGTGGCTTGCAGAAGCTCTATGAGCATTTGCTGAGAACTTCCATTTTAAAGCTTTTCCTTTACAGAGTAATAAAGTCATTCTATAGCTATCATATATACATATGCATACAAATTATTAAAGAACTGAAAATGGAGGTTATCCCTCCAAAACATTCTGTGTTGTCATACATATGTCAACACTGTCCTCATGACAAAAGTTATTTATCCAAAGATAAAAATTTTCAGAAGTTTTAAATGCAGTTTTTTCATAATCACTCAAAAAGGATAAAAGTTTATCATTTCAAAATCGTTAACTCTATTGAAGATGCCATTCCTCTGGGCCATGGTTTGCTAAATTGCTTATAGTTTCTGAGCTGTAAATTAACATTTGCTTTACCATGTAGCTGCAAAGAAATTTGTAAGTTGTTTGTGAAATATTCAAATAAAGGTTATCTGGGATTTCTAATGTGTGTGCTTGGTCTTAGACCATCTTTAGTATAGTACAGTCCAAACACAGTAACAGAGTAAAGGGATATTTTTTTTAACGGTATTCGGGTTCACCGAAAATGTTTAAAGATCGGGACTGAAAGTAGGTACTGCCTGCTTAAAAATGCACTCTTTTCTTCTTCCACAGTCAAATCCTTACAATTCAGAAAAATAGATAAATGGTAGATAAATAAGTAGATATATAGATAGGTAGGTAGATAGACAAACAGCAAGATTACTTTAGTGATATTCTTAACAAAAAAGACAAGGGGAAAGGTTAATATTTAATAAGTGCCTCCTGTGGACACTTTACATATTACATGATACATCACATATGTAATTTACATGAATATATAATTATATATGTAATTTATATAATTCATGGGATATTGAAATAGACATTATCTTCATTCTATAGATTAAGAAACTGAGACTCATAAAGTTAAAACTATCTTCTACTCGGTCCTACTACCTACTGAGTGGTATATACAACTCCACCCTGGTACTTTTTCTGCTATACCCTAAGGCAGCACCACCTCATTTATCACCAGGAACCAACGGAACCGAGCTTGTGTCACCACACACAATGCATGAAATTGATAATGACAGCGAAAGCGGAGCCGAACAAACCCAAACGTACAAACCAGGGTCTTTATAAAATGTTTCCTTCCTCCCTGGGCAGTCTGTCTCCAGGAAACTGCTCATTTGGGTAAATAAATAGAAAACTGATTCCTTGGCAGCCAGTCATGGAGATGCTAATTTGGAAAATTGCTTCAAATGAACATAAGA